GTCCTATCTGATAGAATATTCTATATAAGCAATTTTTTTTAAATAAGATACATAGAAATTTAATGTTTCTCCTGTGAAAATATTTTAGGAATAGAGGAATAAAATGTCTTCTTGTCTTCTTGTTTTACTGTATCTTTGATTGTGTACATTGAAACCAATAGGAAAATAACTATCTTCTTATTCAACATGAAAAAACTGTACAAATTTGTTCTATATGTTTAGTTATTATTTACAAATTTTTATGAAATAATTTTTTCAATGATAATTTTAGTAATTATCTGTCAAAATATTTGGTGCTATGTTTCCCATAAACAGAATAATGTTAGGTTTGCTGTTAGGTTTCCAAAAAATTTATACTTTGGTATAGTTATTTTCAAAACAATACTTTGTATAATTTTCCTGATGGGGACTATGAAGCAGAACTTGACATAATGTTTTGAATATATATAATTTAGAACTTTTTCTTCATACAAATCATAATTTATGCATATTGACTCTCTTTTATTTAGATATTTCTTTTCCTGCTCTACTATTCATTTAACTATTCTTCAACCTGCAATTTTTATTTTATGTTGGACTGTTTTCCCTTTTAAAGTTAAGTAGATTCAAATTGTTCCTTCAGCTGAAGGAAATGTACTCTATCCAAGTCCAAACTCAAACTGTGCTATTCGCAGCCTCCACCTTTCTTCTCCTTCAGAATAATTTCCTACAGTTAAAAAGCAAAGAACCAAGGGATATTGATGCTGCAAGATTCTTTAAAGTTTAGTGTCATCCAGAACTTTCCTTTTATAGATGAGAAAACAGAGATCCTCATTGCTTAAGTGATCTGCCCAGATTATAGTTCTAGTAGGTAACCGAATTCTCATTCAACTCAAGTCTTCTTTTGGCCCAAACTCGGACTCTTTCACTGTCTCTCACTGCCTCTAGGCTGCTAATATTGATTTCTTCAAGCAATACAAACCATGGACTTCTATGGTAGTGTGTGTATATACATGTACCTTCTGGAGAAAATCTTGTAAGGCCCAGGAGAAAGCAGCCATGCACAGGTACTCTCAGGGAGCCTTGGAGTTGGCCTGGTCATGCCAACCTGGGTTGTTAATGCCAAGGCCTGAGTTTGTCAATCCTTTCATCCCCTCTTGACCATTTATGTGCCTGACAGATGAAGGCTGGCCAGAGAGTCCTTTGAGGGAGATGAGAAGCCCCCACACAGACCCAACTCACGTCAAAGAATTCGCAAAAACCCACAGCCTGGCAAGCTCATAAACTGCTGTGAGAGTGTTAACTCATTTTTGTAACACTTTTGGAGGCCAATTTGAAAATATCGAAAACTTAAAAGTACATTGTCACTGATGTAGCAATTTTACCTTTAAGAATTATTTTTAAGAAATGGTCTCTAAGAAAAAAGAATAATACATCCAAGCATATACTCAAGCCAAGAATTAAGAAACAGGTATAAACAGTTCATTCTTTTATTCATTTAATAAATACAGGCTCCAGTTTTATGGGAAAATCACAATACCTCTGTGTGTGTGAGCAGTATTTAATGTTCCTGATAAAACATATGGAATAAGCAGTACTGTTAAAAAAATGCATTTATGGGCCGAGCCCGTGGCGCACTCAGGAGAGTGCGGGGCTGGGAGCGCAGCAGCGCTCCCGCCGCGGGTTTGTATCCTATATAGGGATGACCGGTGCGCTCACTGCGCTCACTGGCTGAGCGCGGTGTGGCCAGTCTCAAAAAGGACAAAAAAAAAATGCACTTATTTTACATAGCTATTAACATTCAAGATTTTATAAAGGATCTAACTAAAATTATATGCAAGTTCCACTATGGGATTAAAATGCCAGGAAAAATACAGATGAACAAAAAACTACAACGTTCTCATAAGCCAATGGTAGTTAGAAAACTATCTTTTAAAAAAGGAACAAATTTGAACAATGCAAAATCACATGAATTTCCTGTCAAGTGCATTAACCTGATAAAGATAAATAATGCTGAAATTTTTACATGTTTAAGAAC